TAAGATGTGTATAAGAGACAGAGAGAGGGGAGGGGAAAGCATTGATAGAGGCACACCAAATCACAAATGAAAAGAACTAACAACCGAATTATGAGAAAACTGACCAATCAAATCTAAAGAAACACCAATGACACTAAGAACCAGACCAGAATGTACCAGGCTATAACCTACGAAACCTACTTGAACGACTATATCCTGTCAACAATAATCTATGCCAATAAATATACTACAGATCAATTAAAAAACTATCATAAACATTATATAACTAACTAGTGATTACTAAAGGAATTAATTGCAGGAGTTCTAAAGAAAGTAATAAATATATAAAATCATAGCAAAAATGACTCAATAAGTGATGGACATACAGCATGATTATGATTGAGAAATAAATTTAAAACTTATAAATGGTGTTAAATACTTAAATATTCAATAAACTGAGTTAAAACATTTATATGTAGTTGTTGCATCAAATAGATTTTATAAATTAGATATTATGTTGGATAACAAGTTAACAATATAAAAAGAAACTATAAAGAGAAAATATCATATCCTACATTGCGCACTCTGTATGAGCTGAATTGTTACTACCATATTAGATAAGGAGACAGATTGAAAGATTATAAGTTAAAAGGTCTAACTATATAGTCGGTGTATCACTTTAATGTTACGTACGTGAGTGTTCAATACAGATGGTAGTCCCAATAGTTGATACGTCAAGTAACGTTACTAACTCAACAAACGTCGTTATATCTTCTGTAGTTGTTATACGTATAGTCGTCATCTGGTGTTTAGTTGTGGAGAAACCTTCACTAGTTGAAGACCCAACAGTTATTATGTCAACCAACGTTGATAATTCGGCACCAGTTGTTACGTTATCTAATGTTGTTCCAGGTATTGTTGTTGTGTGGTGTTCAGTTGTGTCGATACCTATAGTAGATATACCTGTTGTAGCTCTTACAGTTTGTACATCAATCAACGTTGATATCTGAAAATCAGTTGTTACGTCATCTACTGTAGTTTCAGGTATTATTGTAGATTTTTGTTCAGTTTTAGTGATACCTTCAGTCGACATACTAGTTATAGCCCCTAGAGTTGTTAATTCCTCCAACGTTGATAACTGAAGATCAGTTGTTATGTCATCTACTGTAGTTTCATGTATTATTGTAGTTTCTTGTTCAGTTGTAGTGATACCTTCAGTAGACATACCAGTTGTAGCCCCTACGTTTGTTACTTCATCCAACGTTGATAACTGAACATCACTTGTTATGTCATCTACTGTTGTTTTTAGTAATGTTGCTTGTTGTTTAGATGTGGAGATACCTTCTGTAGCTGTAAACCCTACCGTTATTATATCAACCAACGTTGATAATTGAGCATCAGTTGTTGCGTCATCTACTGTTGTTTCACGTATTGTTGTTGCATGCTTTTTAGTTGTAGTGATACCTTCAGTAGATATACTCTTTGTAGATGGCACAGTAATTACATCAATGAACGTTGATAACTGAACATCAGTTGTTATGTCATCTACTGTAGTTCCAGGTATTATTGTAGTTTTTTGTTCAGTTGTAGTAATACCTTCAGTCGACATACTAGTTGTAGAACTTACAGTTGTTAATTCATCCAACGTTGATAACTGAACATCAGTTGTTATGTCACCTAACGTTGTTTCATGCATTTTTGTTGTTTGTTGTTCAGCTGTGGAGATACCTTCTGTAGCTGTGAACCCTACAGTTATTATATCAACCAACGTTGATAATTGAGCATCAGTTGTTGCGTCGTCTAATGTTGTTTCACGTATTGTTGTTGCATGCTTTTCAGTTGTAGTGACAACTTCAGTAGATATACTCTTTGTAGATGGCACAGTAATTACATCAATCAACGTTGATAACTGAACATCAGTTGTTATGTCATCTACTGTAGTTCCAGGTATTATTGTAGTTTTTTGTTCAGTTTTAGTGATACCTTCATTCGACATACTAGTTGTAGCCCCTAGAGTTGTTACTTCATCCAACGTTGATAACTGAACATCACTTGTTATGTCATCTACTGTAGTTTCAGGTATTATTGTAGTTTTTTGTTCAGTTGTAGTAATACCTTCAGTCGACATACTAGTTGTAGAACTTACAGTTGTTAATTCATCCAACGTTGATAACTGAACATTAGTTGTTATGTCACTTAATGTTGTTTCATGTATTTTTGTTGTTTGTTGTTCAGCTGTGGAGATACCTCCTGTAGCTGTAAACCCTACAGTTATTATATCAACCAACGTTGATAATTGAGCATCAGTTGTTGCGTCGTCTAATGTTGTTTCACGTATTGTTGTTGCATGCTTTTCAGTTGTAGTGACACCTTCAGTAGATATACTCTTTGTAGATGGCACAGTAATTACATCAATCAACGTTGATAACTGAACATCAGTTGTTATGTCATCTACTGTAGTTTCAGGTATTATTGTAGTTTCTTGTTCAGTTGTAGTGATACCTTCAGTAGACATACCAGTTGTAGCCCCTACGGTTGTTACTTCATCCAACGTTGATAACTGAACATCACTTGTTATGTCATCTAATGTTGTTTTAAGTAACGTTGTTGCTTGTTGTTTAGCTGTGGAGATACCGTCAGTAGTTGTAGACCTTACAGTTATTATGTCAACCAACGTTGATAGTTGAGCATCAGTTGTTGCGTCATCTAATGTTGTTTCACGTATTGTTGTTGCATGCTTTTCAGTTGTAGTGACACCTTCAGTAGATATACTCTTTGTAGATGGCACAGTAATTACATCAATCAACGTTGATAAATGAACATCAGTTGTTATGCCATTTACTGTAGTTTTAGGTATTTTTGTAGTTTCTGGTTCAGTTGTAGTCATACCTTCAGTAGACATACCAGTTGTAGCCCCTACAGTTGTTACTTCATCCAACGTTGATAACTGAACATCACTTGTTATGTCATCTAATGTTGTTTTAAGTAACGTTGTTGCTTGTTGTTTAGCTGTGGAGATACCGTCAGTAGTTGTAGACCTTACAGTAATTATGTCAACCAACGTTGATAACTGAGCATCAGTTGTTGCGTCATCTGCTGTTGTTCCACGTGTTGTTGTTGCATGGTTTTTAGTTGTAGTGATACCTTCAGTAGATATACTCCTTGTAGATGGCACAGTAATTACATCAATCAACGTTGATAACTGAACATCAGTTGTTATGTCATTTACTGTAGTTTCATGTATTATTGTAGTTTCTTGTTCAGTTGTAGTGATACCTTTAGTAGACATACCAGTTGTAGCCCCTACGGTTGTTATTTCATCCAACGTTGATAACTGAACTTCACTTGTTATGTCACCTAATGTTGTTTCATGTATTTTTGTTGTTTGTTGCTTAGCTGTGGAGATATCTTTTGTAGCTGTGAACCCTACAGTTATTACATCAACCAACGTTGATAATTGAGCATCAGTTGTTGTGTCATCTAATGTTGTTTCACGTATTGTTGTTGCATGCTTTTCAGTTGTAGTGACACCTTCAGTAGATATACTCTTTGTGGATGGCACAGTAATTACATCAATCAACGTTGATAACTGAACATCAGTTGTTATGTCATCTACTGTAGTTCCAGGTATTATTGTAGTTTTTTGTTCAGTTTTAGTGATACCTTCAGTCGACATACTAGTTGTAGCCCATAGAGTTGTTAATTCATCCAACGTTGATAACTGAACATCAGTTGTTATGTCATCTATTGTAGTTTCATGTATTATTGTAGTTTCTTGTTCAGTTGTAGTGATACCTTCTGTAGACATACCAGTTGTAGCCCCTAAAGTTGTTACTTCATCCAACGTTGATAACTGAACATCAGTTGTTATGTCACTTAATGTTGTTTCATGTAGTTTTGTTGTTTGTTGTTCAGCTGTGGAGATACCTTCTGTAGATGTGAACCCTACAGTTATTATATCAACCAACGTTGATAATTGAGCATCAGTTGTTGCGTCGTCTAATGTTGTTCCACGTATTGTTGTTGCATGCTTTTCAGTTGTAGTGACACCTTCAGTAGATATACTCTTTGTAGATGGCACAGTAATTACATCAATCAACGTTGATATCTGAACATCAGTTGTTATGTCATCTACTGTAGTTTCAGGTATTGTTGTAGTTTCTTGTTCAGTTGTAGTGATACCTTCAGTAGACATACCAGTTGTAGCCCCTACAGTTGTTACTTCATCCAACGTTGATAACTGAACATCACTTGTTATGTCATCTAATGTTGTTTTAAGTAACGTTGTTGCTTGTTGTTTAGCTGTGGAGATACCGTCAGTATTTGTAGACTTTACAGTTATTATGTCAACCAACGTTGATAATTGAGCATCAGTTGTTGCGTCGTCTAATGTTGTTCCACGTATTGTTGTTGCATGCTTTTCAGTTGTAGTGACACCTTCAGTAGATATACTCTTTGCAGATGGCACAGTAATTTCATCAATCAACGTTGATAAATGAACATCAGTTGTTATGCCATTTACTGTAGTTTTAGGTATTATTGTAGTTTCTGGTTCAGTTGTAGTGATACCTTCAGTAGACATACCAGTTGTAGCCCCTACAGTTGTTACTTCATCCAACGTTGATAACTGAACATCACTTGTTATGCTATCTAATGTTGTTTCACGTATTGTTGTTGTTTGTTGTTTAGTTGTGGAGATACCTTCAGTAGTTGTAGACCTTACAGTTATTATGTCAACCAACGTTGATAATTGAGCATCAGTTGTTGCGTCATCTAATGTTGTTTCACGTATTGTTGTTGCATGCTTTTTAGTTCTAGTGGTACCTTCAGTAGATATACTCTTTGTAGATGGCACAGTTATTACATCAATCAACGTTGATAAATGAACATCAGTTGTTATGCCATTTATTGTAGTTTTAGGTATTATTGTAGTTTCTGGTTCAGTTGTAGTCATACCTTCAGTAGACATACCAGTTGTAGCCCCTACAGTTGTTACTTCATCCAACGTTGATAACTGAACATCACTTGTTATGTCATCTAATGTTGTTTCACGTATTGTTGTTGCTTGTTGTTTAGCTGTGGAGATACCTTCAGTAGTTGTAGACCTTACAGTAATTATGTCAACCAACGTGGATAATTGAGCATCTGTTGGTGCGTCATCTAATGTTGTTTCACGTATTGTTGTTGCATGGTTTTTAGTTCTAGTGGTACCTTCAGTAGATATACCAGTTGTAGATGGCACAGTAATTACATCAATCAACGTTGATAACTGAACATCAGTTGTTATGTCATTTACTGTAGTTTCAGATATTATTGTAGTTTCTTGTTCAGTTGTAGTGATACCTCCAGTCAACATACCAGTTGTAGCCCCTACAGTTGTTACTTCATCCAACGTTGATAACTGAACATCACTTGTTATGTCATCTAATGTTGTTTTAAGTAATGTTGATGCTTGTTGTTCAGCTGTGGAGATACCTTCAGTAGTTGTAGACCTTACAGTTATTATGTCAACCAACGTTGATAATTGAGCATCAGTTGTTGCGTCATCTAATGTTGTTTCACGTATTGTTGTTGCATGCTTTTTAGTTGTAGTGACACCTTCAGTAGATATACTCTTTGTAGATGGCACAGTAATTACATCAATCAACGTTGATAAATGAACATCAGTTGTTATGTCATCTACTGTAGTTCCAGGTATTATTGTAGTTTTTTGTTCAGTTGTAGTAATACCTTCAGTCGACACACTAGTTGTAGCCCTTACAGTTGTTAATTCATCCAACGTTGATAATTGAACATCAGTTGTTATGTCACCTAATGTTGTTTCATGTATTTTTGTTGTTTGTTGTTCAACTGTGGAGATACCTTCCGTACCTGTGAACTCTACAGTTATTATGTCAACCAACGTTGATAATTGAGCATCAGTTGTTGCGTCATCTAATGTTGTTCCACGTATTGTTGTTGCATGCTTTTCAGTTGTAGTGACACCTTCAGTAGATATACTCTTTGTAGATGGCACAGTAATTACATCAATCAACGTTGATAACTGAACATCAGTTGTTATGTCATTTTCTGTAGTTTCAGGTATTATTGTAGTTTCTTGTTCAGTTGTAGTGATACCTTCAGTAGCCATACCAGTTGTAGCCCCTACAGTTGTTATTTCATCCAACGTTGATAACTGAACATCACTTGTTATGTCATCTAATGTTGTTTCATGTATTTTTGTTGTTTGTTGTTCAGCTGTGGAGATACCTTCTGTAGCTGTGAACCCCACAGTTATTATATCAACCAACGTTGATAATTGAGCATCAGTTGTTGCGTCATCTAATGTTGTTTCACGTATTGTTGTTGCATGCTTTTTAGTTGTAGTGGTACCTTCAGTAGATATACTCTTTGTAGATGGCACAGTAATTACATCAATCAACGTTGATAACTGAACATCAGTTGTTATGTCATCTACTGTAGTTTCATGTATTATTGTAGTTTCTTGTTCAGTTGTAGTGATACCTTCAGTAGACACACCAGTTGTAGCCCCTACAGTTGTTACTTCATCCAACGTTGATAACTGAACATCACTTGTCATGTCATCTAATGTTTTAAGTAACGTTGTTGCCTGTCTCTTATACACATCTAGATGTGTATAAGAGACAGGATATACTCTTTGTAGATGGCACAGTAATTACATCAATCAACGTTGATAAATGAACATCAGTTGCTGTCTCTTATACACATCTAGATGTGTATAAGAGACAGGTATTATTGTAGTTTCTTGTTCAGTTGTAGTGATACCTCCAGTCAACATACCAGTTGTAGCCCCTACAGTTGTTACTTCATCCAACGTTGATAACTGAACATCACTTGTTATGTCATCTAATGTTGTTTCACGTATTGTTGTTGCATGCTTTTCAGTTGTAGTGACACCTTCAGTAGATATACTCTTTGTAGATGGCACAGTAATTACATCAATCAACGTTGATAA